GCTCATCTTCTCAGGTATCGCTTCTTTTTATTATACCTTAATGAACGTGGGCCAAAACGGACAGCAAATTATGGTATATCTTTGCTGAGCAAAGATATACCATAATTTCCAACTAGAAGCGTAGTATCGTAAAAACTTTTTTAGACTGATCCATGATGAACCCTATAGTGCCTACAGTTCATAGGCTAGCGACCATCAAGCTCCCTGACAGTCTGTTCTCGAGTCGAGAATCTCGACCATGTTTAGAGAAATGTATGTGCGCACCGGACTTTCGCGCAAACTATAGCTGCCATACTGGTCTCAACGATCGCTTACCGCGCCTTATTCGACAGATGTCTCAGTTGCTTCCTCCCGAGAAGGTTATTTCGGGACACTCTGATTCGGGAAATATTGTGAAAAAATATACAAGTCAACCGAGGTCAGAATTTTGAAAATTTCTTGGTGACTATTTTTATTGTTGCGGCCCGCAACTTGCGGGTTCGGCAATACAGCGAGGTGATTGCTGAGCTGCTCAGCTGAGGTAATCGAGACCATATTCCGAGACTACTCCTATGACAAAGTGCAGAAAATACTATTGTGGACGTAGGTGCCGAGCCAGCAGCGTGATGAGGCGATGTACATTAGAGAATACCAAATTTCCATCTGAAGACCCCACCCCTAGGCGTGTCTCTAGTTGAGTCGGCGAATGACCGACTTCTCCAATTGGTTGTGTTGACGACGCTGAGATGGAGTGTAACATATCATGATATCGCAGGGTATGGTAGTAACTAGTGAAAGGGGTGTGCGATCAGACGGGATGGTATTTGATCATAGCAACAGCAATGATAACGCAACGCAACGAAACGCAATGCTTATTGCCGGGCTTTACGGGCTAGCAGCCGATCGCCCTCAAACGTATAATAGCCGGCTCAGAATCACCCGCACTGCGGGTCCCGCAGAGACAGTGAGGCTATAACCCCGTCGACATCAGAGATATGTGGCTGCTACTACTACAACGAGAGAGAAAGGTAAATAATGCAAAGAGCGGGGCCAGATATAATACGTGAAATAAAAAAAAGAGCTTGAAATGATAGGGAAAGAAATACAACTACTATAAAGAGGACGATATGGATCCCGGGCAGCTCTAACATATGCAAAGGTAATGACATCGCACGATATATGCTACGAGAAGCACAGGGAGGGTAATGAACCACCAGAACAGGGTTTACACGGCTGACAGAAGACAGCTGCCGTTGGTTAGGGGAAGTAAGTCAAGTCGACGACAGCACAGTAGACGCTCCTCTTGCTCCTTCGGCACTGGGCAGAATACACCGGGAATCATGATGGTGAACATTGACAGTAGGATTGTCGAGAGCGAGGAGGCATCGCGATAGTTACCAGTGCATACAGTATACCATGGTAGACCATGCTCGCTGCAAAACCAACTGAGGTAGTATTCGAAAAGGATAATAGCCCACAGCCACTGGTGTTGCACGTGGTGTTGACGTCTTGTCCACCAAACGATTTCGGGCACGACGCCGAATTGATAGTACCTGGAACGACAAGGAAGAACGACGCGACGCGGGGCGAATGCGAATGCATAAAATGAGACAACTGAGCAAAAGAACACGGGAGCACCTGTTGGGTAAAGGTAGTAGCAAGTACGACGTAACTCAGTAGAAAGAAAGGACGAAGCCTGACAAAAGCCAGGGCAAAGGTGAAAGCAATCCTCGACAAGTAGACAGTGATGCAGGAGTATCATGAGACAAAATCGTGAGGGGGAACGGTTTCTACGTGAATAGTCATTTGGATGATTTCCCGGGAGTGAAAAAGTTGGTCGGAAAGTAGCAAGGGAGTGAGCTGGATGTCGCAGTGTGGCAATGCTGATAGCACTCTTATCCGAAGTTTCCCTAGGTCAACTTGACATCATTCGACTTTCACGGCCAAGATATGTAATAGTGAAAAACATATTCCACGACTACTGCGTATCGCGAATATCGCATTTTTCGCTGAATATTACATCGCTTCACGTAAAACGGGTGGAACTCCATTGAATAAAATCGTCGTCGTTCGCTGGCTTCGGGGATTTATTTTCTCATCGATGCTCCTCAGGATGGACGAAACGCAGTTGTCATCAGCAAGTAGTGCGAATACGTTAGTTGAATCAGTACATGTTCCCGAGGCGGCGAATCCCCCTGTTGTTGTGGAGAAACCAATTCTCGATCGGCTTGCTGAAAGCGGAGATGAGGTTATTAAGGAAACCGAGATTGTGCATAAGGAAGTTGCGGAGGAGGAGGCTGAGCAGCAAACAGATCTGCCAACTGCAGTGGACAGCTCTTCGAATGAGCCTCTGGAGAGGAACGATGGTTTTACGCATGGACAGATGAATATTTCGGCTAAAGACGATGAAGTGACGATTGAGCAGAATGAAGTCTCTGGTGAAGAGGAAAGTCTGCCAGCAGTCAAGGGCTCGGGAGAAGAAGACACGCAGGTGAGAGAATAGTCGTTGTAGCATCACCGAATTGAGATGAAATGCAATCTAGGGGTATGCATACTAGTCTTGTTTCGCGGTTCCTCCATCTTACGTAGTAGCTGTTGTGAGGGGACCGATGTTTTCTCACTCACATTTCGCGGTATTATTATCTTATATCACCTCCACCCAAAGGGTGAGTTTGCTTAGTCGTTGAGACTTGTTGGACAAGTCTTGTTCCCATCAAAATTCCTCTTCGGAATTCAGTTATATAATATAGAAATCAAAGTTCGACCAGTTGAAGCAGTGGGGAAGCGAGGAAAGCAAACGAGCTCCGTGCACTGAGGGGTGTGAGCGCCCAAAGAGACGAAGCCCTGCGGAAGCTTCCCTCAGTCACCGAGCGAGAATCTATCGCCGTTTAAAACGTTATTACACTGTATATCAATTTCGTCCTCAAATTGTGACTCGGTGCTTACGCGTGTATCATAAATATGCTATAATTCACTGTGAGTAGAAAGTACTCTATATGCTGAGTATAATATCACTACTTTAGTGTATTCGCGATCCTCAACGACTATCGTAGCCGCTTCGAATTTGGTGACTTCACTTCCAACAATGTCACATGACGTGGCCGCTTATGTGACGTCTACTGGCTGAGTTGACCCTAGTGTAGAAATGGAGTATATTGGAGTTTCACCGTAGTGATATGAAAAACACTACTGTAAAATATATTTCACGACTAGTGCATAGCGCGAACATCGCCTTTTCCACAGATTATTACGCTACTTCACGAAAAACGGGTGAAACTCCCTCGTAAGTATCTTTAAGTGATGTTGAAATTTTGTCCATCCTATTATTCGTGTGAATAGTTTTCCTGTATTATTCGTTTACGATCAGGTGGCGCAAAATGGAAATGATCGAGTATCAGTTGAGGAGATGGAAACCATCCCGGCTGTCATCACGGTGAAGGGAGGGCCGCCCGAGAAGGAAGAGGAGGAGGAGGAGCCTGTGGATCTTGATACACGAGAAGGAGTTATGGCATTACAGCGACGTCAATGTCGCGGTGAGAGCTCGCGTAGATCTTCCGATGGATTGATTCGTAGTCGTTCAGGTCTCTCAGCAGAGGAGTTGATAAAGAAAATTGTAGACTTGACTGGTAGGAGATTCGATGAGGCGGCGCAGGTGGCGAAAGAGATAGAAGGAGTAGAAGCTGAAGCGGAGGAGAAGGCTAGAGCTCATTATGAGGAGGAGGTAGGTACATGCATTGGTGAATGATGTGGGTGAATGTCTATGCAGTTGAATATTGTCACTGATCAAATGGCGGATATGAAGTTGGACTACTTGGAGAGGATAGACTCTATTATGGCTGATCATGCGGTGAGATTTGGGCAAGGTGTGGTATGGCGAGTCCGCGTTGCACTATAGGGCGATATTGCTAGTATTAAGGGAGAAGTTGCAGCGTTGGAAGTCGCCCTTGACTCTATCAACGAAGATAAGGAAGCCGCTATGCATGGTGGGCCTCCATCGTGGCTCGTCAGGATGGGTACTCTTGTGAATCAGTTGCTTTCGATAGTCAAACGGCTCTGTCCTTGTCGATGGATCTAATGCATGATGAAGGGGATGTTCGCGGCGTCATCGAAGATCTTACGAAGGTGAGTCGCGCATATTGTGTAACGAGATCGGGTATCGCGGGGGGGAACAAGTGCCGTGGAATACAAGCATGGTCAACAAGTACATGTATTGATGACGATATGAAAATGCTGAGAAAACTATGGGAAAATCTTATCTGTACGCTTCTATCGAAATTTGTGTGTGAACTTGTATAAATATTGAGGAAACTCCTGAGCTCAGCGATTCAGGAAAGCGAACATATATCTCGCCAACACTGTCATAGATGGATGCACGGGCGAGAGGAGATGTGTTGGTCGTTGATTGGGTGCCTTATAGTTGCCTTCTATTCGTCCCGAGACCCACAAGGCTGTTTTGGGCACACTTCCTTCGCCGTTGCGTCCTGTTTATAGCGCTGGGGTGCTCAAGGTGAGGTTGCTGTTGTTCATAAGTGAGGCACTCAAGCAGCTTATTGATATTCGGAAACTCCGAATCGGAATTACTGCGTGCCTAAGAGCTCCTTACTTGATGAAGAGATGACGTAGGAATCTCAGGTCCGCTTCGAGCGACAGATTCCTCGTATGGTGATCTCGGCGTTCATGCCAGAGAAGAGCAGTATGATGGGAACTGTCATGGCTCGTATTTTCGCCTCCCTCTACCGGTTGGATCGAAACGATGCTGATGAGTTGAGGGCAGAGGGAGCGCAAGATGCTCCCGAGGAGTGTAAGAATGAGTGTCGCTAGAGCCAATTGTGCAAAGTCTCATTGTATACAAAGGAATGCCTTATGGAAAGGGTGGGATCAATTCTATCTTCTTCAGTTTATCGATCATCTCTCTTGCCTTTCACAGACCCTACATCGAAGAACCTCAATAGCATAACACGGGCGGCTCGCTGCATGGATAGAGGCGAGTACGTTACTGAGCATAAGTCGTCGTTCATCGGACTTGCTTTTTAGCCTGGTCGGTGCCGTTCGTCATTTGAGAACTACAAGCGGGAAAGCTCGAGAAACAATTGATGAATGGCTGAACGAGGCGGGTAAGCTCTCGTGGGCTTGTCGTGCTTCCAAATTGACCATGTATTTTTGCAGTTACCACGTTGGAAGTCTGGCAAGCCATGGATGTCATCCGAGGCGATTTCGATTCAGTAATTGCGAGTCATCTGTGGCTCACTTATATTCGTGTTATGAGAATCAACACCGCAACTTATTATCGTGTTGTTAAAGTAGGATATCATCTTGTAGAGTCACCCTGCCATACAAGAAACCGCAAGCAATATTCGACGAAAATAGGGGAATTGATAAATTCATAGTCTTCATATTGAACCGCTCGATAGACTGCTACGGCATCAGAGCTTTTCAAATCAGAGACAGTATCAATATGACAAAGCTCAAAAGTGCTACAACTCATGGAATGTTATATCGCCCTTGTCTCTTAGTTGCAAGCGTCTAAGGCACATAGTGTAGTCTCGCGCCCCATAACCTTTCAACATGGTCACACGGTTAGCCAGTCACTCTAACCCCAGTGCATCATCACGACATCACAGCATGTTCACTTTGGAGCTCATCGGTGAAGTTTAGTGGCCAAATTGAGTTCCTTGTTCGGCAATATGATGCACTCATGATGAACTCAAGAAGCTCCAATGTTTCAACACGTGTAAGTTTAATCCTAATCTGCTGACATAGCCGAAAATATTCTCTCAATGAAACGAATGATTCGCCGAATAGCATTGCTCTAAATATCAGATGTAGAACCACGCTACTAGAATGGCGAATCCAGCTGAAGGTCTTTCCACGGAACGGTCATGAAATGGCCAACGATAATGGATGGCATTCTGCCGTGGACCGTGGGTTCAAAAAGAAAGAATTGTTCACAGAGAATGCGATTTCAACTTCCCGATTCCGACTCGTTTGAAAGTAGGGTCGAACTCAAAGTAGTTACCGATAAGCATACGATCGAGGAAATACCAAATATTCCCTTTGTCCTCCGAGATCAGGAGTGAACAAACGTTAGATGTATTCCTGGCATAGTTCATGTATGTCATCGTAAATGGAGTTATGCCCTTAGGGCCCAAGTCAAACCTCAACAGTGGCAACTTACTCATGTATTGGCAAGGGAAGAACCATATCTCCTCCCTTGGGTCGAACTTGAAGTCGACATGCGTACCCGCAGCCTTGTCAGTTTGAGCTTTGATATCCTTAATGAGACTGTCAAAGTATAATTTTGGGACGTATAGATAGTTGGAGCCGGTGTCGAGGTGCAAGTTCATATTGATGCCAAGAGTTATATGTCCATCACCGACTTGCAGCTTGTCAATATTTACCATGTATTTGTTGTCCGTAGAGAAGTCGACGTACTTCAGTCCACCCTGATATAATGCAGGATCGCCTCCACCCAGGAGTAGGCCTCCATCAACGGTTTGCTTTGAGGGATCAGCTGGAGGATACAAGTAGAGAGCAAAGATACCCGTCGTTACAGTTTTTGATGATAGCAACTGCGTCATTAGAGACGGGAAATTCACAGCACCTTCATCATAGCCGAGACCCATCGAGTTAGTCGGCACAACTTGACTGACGGGAGGATTCTGGTCGAATATCAGTCCGAAAGTGAGGATCGGCGACACCTGACCCACCGTCAATTTCGCTTTATGCTGAAAAATGTCCACCGTGTATTTGTCGTCGAAAGTAATAGTTCTCGTCACTTTACCCACAGAGCAAGGCTTCGAACATTTATAACACCCCATGGCCCATTCACTGCAGGGACGTCCACTGGCTCTCTCCAACCAATTCTTCCAGATGAGAAAGAAGAAACCCGATCCAGTGTCAACGTGAGCATGTAGCTCCTGGCCATACGCGTCGACCAGAGTATGAAACAATCCGAAACCCATAGGCATTTCTTCGTACTTGACGTCTAGCTTGAGAGTTTCTCCCCGAGAGACCTTCAACACATGGAATACATAAACCAAGGCGAGCAGTCGAACGGGCATAGGAGAACGCATTTTGGTCAATATTTTGGATCTCAACACAGCCAAGTGCCACGTTTTTGTCTCACGGCTCGGGCGCACCTGCTGGCTCGCGCCAGAAAGTCTCGGCAACTGAAATCATCAAAAGGAAATCAACGGTTTCAATTCGGTTTCAATCGGTTTACTGACCGAACCGGTGCGATTCATCTACCGATCGAAACCGAAAATCCACGACTCCCTCGGTTGTTCGATCTTTTCTCCCGGCACAGCATGTCGTGCGCTTCGTGCGGCACAATCTGTGCCACACAACGCGATATAGAATGGATCCCACCTAGGTCCGCAACTAGAGTGAGACATTTGAAAAGCTTTTCCGGAGACCTGCCCGGCCGGGGGTCACAGGGGGTGCCGCCATCCCGCTGGGACGTTTAAAATGCACATACAATTTTTTTAAAAAAATTTTTGGTATCGTGCTTTTGTTTACATCACTCATAGAATAAATACGTCGGCTCATCGATGACAGCTATTGATAACTGCGATTTCTGTAGCTACCTTGTCGTTGATACACAGTGTCTGATGACCGCAGATACTTAAGTGGAGCTCAGAAGCGCAAGATCGTGAAATTGAGAGAAGAGGGGACTAGGAAGCAACGTACACCCCTCCCCATATTCTTAGCATATCTGGTTTTTCGACTCTTGTACAGCCACCACAACGAGTATCATCTTGCGGCTCAGGGAGGTATGTACTCGTGGCTTTACCTGATATGGCCTTTAAGTTTCAGAGCCTAACTCTTCGTAGTTAGTGAGAAGTCGAAGACCGGTAAAAAGTTTTCTCCACATATTCTTAGCATACACGTGTTAAAATTATCTCATATTTGGACTCATATGAGAGTGAAACATGGAGGGATACTATTATGAACGATTCTCTTTCTGTTGATGTAGAGCATTAAATCAGTAGCGGAGTTATAGATATACTCCCCCAGTAAAAGTTGGTATTTTGAGGCGCAATTTTAACACGTGTATGCTAAGAATATGTGGAGAAAACTTTTTACCGGTCTTCGACTTCTCACTAACTACAAAGAGTTAGGCTCTGAAACTTGAAGGCCATATCAGGTAAAGCATATGTACATACCTCCCTGAGCTGCAAGATGATACTCGTTGTGGTGGCTGTGCAAGAGTCGAAAAACCGGTTATGTTAAGAATATGTGGAGGGGTGTATAAGCAGCTCAGGGTCTAATAAGCGGCCCTATAAGCATCTATAAGCAGCCCTATGTCTGCAGTAAGCTTTCTGAGTCGAAGACTTCGACTGAGATGGCATCTCAGATGGCTAATAGTTTTGACTACAACGATCTGACCAAGGGTTTTTTTGAACGAAAAGCACGGAGGATACCACTTGTCGTTTCACTGACAGGTCATATCCAAGACGAAAGGCCGCTGGATGCCATCCAGCTGATGCGACGTACTCTACCTTTGACTGTCGCGAATATCCTCAGTGATATGCATGTATGCATGTTCATAAATATGCAGTTGCTTTGTTACGTCATAACGTTAGAATAGGATGGGTCGATAGTTTTAGGGAAGTCGAGACCCTCGACTCGGGAGCAACACATGGCAGCGAGTTTCAGGGTCTGTGTTCGAGTTTTGCAACTAGCGTGATCACTCGAACTTAGAGAGATCACGCTAGTTGCGGCCCATGCGATGGGCTAACATGTCATGTTGTCCCACGAGTAGCAACTTCGGCCA